TGACTCAATCATAGCCACTAAAATAGGACAAAGATAAGATTGGCAAAACATGTCAAGGAATGTGTTGGGCATCGTCATTAGCCACGGTTCTGTGCGTTGCCCACATCGACGCCTTACTACTACAGTCTTGTAGTCGTGTCTCCATTTTTCCATGACATTATCGCTTCACTTATAAACATCACATTCCATGCCATAATCTATTTAACCGAATTATAACATATTTATTAAATTGTAATTATTTTTTATTTGTGGTTATATGTAAATAATAAATTAGATATAATAATATAGTTATATATATTTATATTATATATATATTTGTATGTGCATGTATTAAATCTGCCATCAATTTAGTGTCAATATTGATGGTTTTTTTTGATATTTTGCTTGAAATTTGATAATCATCTCATTTTTTTTTATTTTATTCGAGAGCAAAATCGTGTAAGCTCGACAAGATCTGTTCATATTAACAGCGAAAGGCAAACCAGACCTGATGCCTGCCTCTTGCTGGCTACCCAGAGTTCGTGTGAGAAGCAAAAAGCCCTGTCAATGCAGTCGTAGGGAACATCATACAGCCTAACCTCGATACCCTCAGCCATCTTCACAGAGTAATCCATTGCTTTTTAACTCTTTTTTTAAACCGTTGGCTTAGATTGGGTCTTATTGATTGAAAAATTAGGATTCTGGACAACATCCCTGAGCAAGAGACATTTCTACTTTCCTCAGACAAGAAGGATTCCCTCACAAACAATCACCAAATGAAACTCAGCTCTGTCCTCTTGAAGTTGGGTCGGTTGGTCTGTTCTCTTCCATCTCTCTCTCGCTTCTCTCTCTCTAGCCCACTATTGATTTTTCGCCTCCTCACTGCTAAAGATTCTTCTTTTCGTCCTTCCTTTGCACAGACATGCAATCGAGTTCCGGCTTCAAGAAAAGTGATATGCCCTTCCTGAGGGACGCCCTAAAAAAGCTTGCGGCATCATTGGCGAAAAAATGTCAGATTCTTCAATTTGAGGTGCGGTGTACTTTGATCTGTTTTGTGGACCATGTTATTATACAACATTTCTTATTCTGACTTTTGGTATTAATGACATTAAGGTTATGAGGGAAGCTCTACTGAGGTATAGTCCATGAGGAGTGGTTGATCAACTGAGCGATACTTGGCAAGGCATGAATTGGGTTATGATAAACTTGCAGATGCTATTAGATGAAGATGAAAGAATAGAAAGACTTGAACGCTTGTATGATTTGTCCTTGATGCATTTGCATCATGAAGGATAATACAGGAAGCTTGGGTCGCCATAGCAATGAATATATGATAAAACCACGAGCTACCAATGTCTTTTTAGAGCGATTTAGTCATGCAAGTTGTTTTTATATTGGAATTTGGTTTATTTCAATACCTACCAATCTTGTTTTAAGTAAGGCATCTTTGAGTTAACATTGTCCATCTTCATGTGGTTGTTGCTGTTAGATTATGAAAATTTGTTGCTCTCGTTGAGACTGGTAAATGGCTTTTCATGACATGAAATGTATGGTAACATGCACTTGCAAAATGGATTCTTCTTGCATGTTTTACTTTACAAATCAAAATCTGATATGTTTGATTTATTTAAAAAAACAATGCTATTGAAGAGCACCACCAAGTGATGACTTTTCATGCCCCTAAAATAATCTAGATTAACTCATCAAAAAGTGACGCTATAAGGTCCTGACTATCTGGGCCAACATTTTCTTTCAATTGGGTTAGGTTATATTTGAATTTGAGTCAATCTTGACAAGCTCGATCAACAGAGCGTGTCACACCACACCGCAGGCATTTGGACAGAGTTACTAAAGGAGATTTTTCCATTATAATTTCTTTCCAGCTCCTTAAATATTTCAATTATAGTGACATTGTGATTGCTTGATCTGGTGTCCATAATACCATAGAGATTGCTTTCTCGACATCTTCTCTCTTACATTTAATATGAGAATAAAATTTCCAACTTCTTGCTTATTGTAAGATTTGCCATTCCTTTACTAAATTTGAAAATTTTATACTGATATTTAAAGCATATGGGTATAATTCTGTAATTAAAGAATGGGTCTTAAGTCATAATGGTAGAATTCTTTATTAAAAGCATGTGGTCTTAGATTTGTCATGCGTTGCATTCTTATTCATGTTCCTCTAGGACTTTTCCTTTCTATCTAAATATAGGCTTCTCTTCATCAGACTACATCACTTCCTTTCTCGGTCGGAGCATGACCTCTTTGCTTTCTTCTTGTTTCATTATAATTTCTTCTCCTTCTTTTATGGAAACTTTCATTTGAAGAACTTTCTCCAAGCTCCTATTCTTGGTAGCTTTTTTTCATAAACTTGTAATGAAACATAAGCTCATCATGTTGCTTGGATCTCAGTTCTTTGATTCTTCAATCCTTATTTATATCAATTTTTCATTCCATAACGTTATTTTTGTCTGCTTCTTCGATGATTCTTAATGATTTTTATTCTACTTGTTGATTGCGATAATATGCACGACACACCTCTTGAAAGAGAGATTGTGTTCAGACACGTGTTTGACATAGACACATTGGCCGACACGTGATGGACACGTGTCGGACACGGCAAACCTTTTGCTGATTGAAAATAAGTTAAATTTAACCCGACAACAGTTGAAGACACATGTTCAGACGCGATTGGACATCGCGTGTCCTAATTTTTATTAAAATTTATTTTAAAATTATTAAAAATTCATATTTACTAAATAAATAAAATATCACATTCGCTCAGTCACCTTATTGAAAGACATATTATTAGAGAATGAATCTTTTTTTTACGTAGTAATGGATATTGGAAGCCGTTATCCTACCTGTGTTTGCAATTTTAATGACACGAATTAAAGAAGAATTTTATTATGTTCAGAAGATCTTTATTGGCACCCTTATTGTAATTCTAGTTTATGATTTGTTGAATTAATTGTGAAAAAGTTAGCAATGATATAGATTATAATTTAGAGTATAAAAATTTAAATTAATAGAATGAAGATTAAATTTGATATCCAATGAACTATAATGGAAGAAACTAGAAACTAGAGAATATAGAAGTAGAATAGATACCATTCTTTATTTGTGATTTAGATAGAGGTTAAAAAAAATATTAATGGAGAGGAACTAGAGAAGTAAATAGATACAAAAGAAGAACCAACTTTCAATTATATGATATCCAATGATTATCTGCAAATCTTGTCTCTAATGAATTAGAATTGTAACATAATGAATCAATATATCGATATTGAGGCCGAAAAAAAACTCTGAAGCTAATCCTAGTAGTTGAAGCTGAAGTGTTTAAATGTTGTATGTAAATTGTTAATTGTTTATATTTTTGTGGTGTATTAGACATTTTGTACTAAATATTTTATATTAAAGCTAGATAAGTTTTCATGCCATTGCATTTATTGTTTTCTTCCTCTAAATTGATGTTACATTATATCTATATAGATATACAAAAAATATAATGTCAGTGTTCGCGTCTACCCGTGTCTATATTTTAAAAAAACATGTCCTGTTCCATATCGTGTCGTTCTTTCGTTTGTGTCGTCCGTCGTGCAATCATAGTTTTGATGTTGATGTTAAGATGTCCTATAAATAGTTTGATAGCATTTTCGACCCTGTTTAGGTTTTCAAACTCACCTCAAAAGAGTTGGAGTAAAACACTCATCACAATCTCGACTCCTTTGTAAGCATTTTTGAAAACCTCCAAGTTCGCATGGAGGTGGTACCTACCAAAAATCTTCTTGAACTAATATATTATCGATTGGGTTTAAATTATCTTCTGTGAAGTCGCTCAGCCACATCTTTGTTGAGGATGAGGGATTCTCCTTTTTGTGGATCCATAGCCTTTATCAATAACTTTTCTCAAATGTCTATCTCTCCGGGGCAGCTGGGCAGCGCAGGGCACGCGGGCAGGCGGGCAGGCGGGCAGCGGGCAGCGGGCAGCGCGGCAGGGGCAGCAGCGGGATTGAGCGGGAAATTCATTTTTTTAAATTAAATGGGTTTTCGGGTTGACCCGGCAACCCGCCGGGTCAACCCGACCCGACCCGTTTTATTAAACGGGTTGAATCTGCAAACCCGGACCCGACCCGTTTATCAAACGGGTCGGGTCCAACCCGGATTTTCCGGGTCGGGTCCGGGTCGGGTTGTCGTGTCGTGTCAAATATTGACACCCCTAACATAATATAGTGCTTAATTAAATTCTCATTAATAGCCTTGACCAAACTTTGATGATAAACATTGTGCATTATTACAAGAAGTCTGTCGAATATTACATTAACAATTTTGGTATTGATTATGAGTTTATTTTATGGCATATAGAGAGAGCTATGATTAGAGCTCAATGCTATTGGAAGTAGTAGACTCGAATGAGTGGGAAAATGGGGATGATAGATAGATCTTATCGATAGGAAAAATGATTCGGCGATGATTTTTTTTATGTTTTAGTCAGAGGTACTATTAGAGATAGAGCTTGAGTAATGATGCAGTGGAAGAAATGGGTTTGAATAGCACAAGCTTAACGGTGATGGTTCCTCAAATTTGACCGTGACTGCAATCATAGGCACTAAAATAGGACAAAGATAGAGGATTGGGAAAAGCATGTCGAAGGAATTGTTTGGGCATCGTCATTAAGCCACGGTTGCGTGCCACATGACGCCTACTACTACAAGTCTTGTAGTCGTTGTCTCGCATTTTTCCATGACATTGATCGCTTTCACTTATAACCATCACATCCCATGCCATAATCTATTTAACCGAATTATAACATATTATTTTAATTGTATATTTTTAGTTGTGGGTTATATGTATAAATAATTAAATTTATGTTTGAATATATATATATATTATATTTGTATGTGCTATGTATTTAAATCTGCCATCAAATTAGTGGTCAATATTGATGGATTTTTTTTTGGGATATTTTGATTGAAATTGATAATCATCTCAATTTTTTTTTTTTTATTATTTCGAGAGCAAAAATCGTGTAAGCTCGACTAAGATACTGTTCATTACGACAGCTGAAAGGCAACCAGGACCCTGAAGCCCTCCCTGCCTCTTGCTGCTAGCCATGGACTTCGGTGAGAAGCAAAAAGCCCTGGTCATGCAGTCGTGGGAACTCATACAGCCTAACCTCGGATACCTCAGCGTCCGATTCTTCACAGAGTAATCATTGCTTTTAACTCTTTTTTTACCGTTTGCTTAGATCTTTGGGGTCTTATTTGATTGAAAATTAGGATTCTGGACAACATCCCTGAGGCAAGAGACATGTTCTACTTTCTCAAGGACAAGAAGGATTCCCATCACAACAATCACAAGATGAAGACTCATGCTCTTGTCCTCTTGAAGTTGGTCGGTTGGTCTGCCCTTTCTCTGTCTCTCTCTCGTCCACTATTGATTTTCCCTTCCTCACTGGCTTAAAGATTCTTTCTTTCGGCCTTCCTTTGTCACAGACATGCAATTCGGTAGTTCGGCTTCAAGATAAGGGTGATATTGCCCTTCCTGAGGACGCCCTAAAAAAGCTTGGGTCGATTCATTTGGCGAAAAATGTCAAGGATTCTCATTTTGAGGTGCTGTGTGTACTTTGGATTGTTTTGGTAATGTTATTATCAACATTCTTAATTCTGACTTTTGGTATTAATGACATTAAGGTCATGAGGGAAGCTCTACTGAGGATAGTCCATGAGGGAGTGGGTGATCAATGGAGCGATGACTTGGGCAAGGCATGGGAATTGGGTTATGATAAACTTGCAGATGCTATTAAGATGAAGATGAAAGAATAGAAGAAGACTTGAACGCTTGTAGTGATTTTCTCGCTTGATGCATTTGCACATGAAGGATTATACAGGGAAGCTTGGGTGTCTGCATAGCAAATGAATATATGATGAAAACCACGAGCTACCAATGTCTTTTTAAGAGCGATTTAGTCAAGGCAAGTTGTTTTATATAATTGGAATTTGGGTTTATTCAATACTACCAATCTTGTTTTAAGTAAGGCATCTTTAGTTAACATTGTCATACTTCATGTGTTGTGCTGTTAGATATGAAAGATTTGTTGCTCTCGTTGAGACTGGTAAATGGCTCTTCATGATCATGAAATGATGGATGACATGCACTTGCAAAATGGAATTCTTCTTTGCATGTTTTACTTACAAATCAAAATTCTGATATGTTTGATTTATTTAAAAAAACAATGCTATTGAAGAGCACCACCAAGTGAGACTTTTACATGCCCCTAAAATATTCTAGATAACTCATCAAAAAGTGACCTATAAGGTCATGACTAGTGGGCCAACATTTTCTTTTCCATTGTGGGTTAGGTTATATTGAATTGAGTCAACTTGACAAGCTCGATCCAACTAGAGCGTGTCACACCACACCGCAGCATTGGAAGAGTTACTAAAGGAGATTTTTCCATTCATAATTTCTTCCAGCTCCTTAAATATTTCATTATAGTGACATTGTGATTGCTTGATCTAGTGTCCAAATACCATAGAGATTGCTTCTCGACATCTTCTCTCTTACATGTTAATATGAGAATAAAATTTCCAACTTCTTGCTTATTTGTAGATTTTGCATTCCCTTTTACTAAATTTGAAATTTTATACTGATAGTTAAAAGCATAATGGGTATAATTCTTGTAATTAAAGAATTGGGTCTTAGATCATAATGGGTAGAATTCTTGTAATTAAAGCATTGGGTCTTAGATTTGTCATGCCTTGCATTCATTATTCATGTCCTCTAGGACTTTTCCTTCTATCATTAATATAGGCTTCTCTTCATCAGCTACATTCACTTCCTTTCTCGGTCAGGAGCATGACCTCTTTGGCTTTCTTCTTGTTCATTTATTAATTCTTCTTCACCTTCTTTTATGGAAACTTTCATTTGATGAACTTTCTCCAAAGGCTCCTATTCTTTGTTAGCTTTTTTCATAAGCTTGTAATGAATACATAAGCTCATCAATTTGCTTGGATCTCAGTTCTTTGATTCTTCAATCCTTATTATAATCAAATTTTTCATTCCATAAGCATTGATTTTTGTCTGCTTCTTCGATGATTTCTAATGATTTTTTATTTCTACTTGGTTGATTGCTATAATGCACAGACACACCTCTTGAAGAGAGGATGTAGTGTCAGACACGTGTTTGACATAGACACATGGCCGACACGGATGGGACACGTGTCGGACACGGCAAACACTTTTCTGATGAAAATAATGTTTAAATTTAACCCGACACAGTTGAGACACATGTCAGACGCGATTGGGACACGCGTGTCCTAATTTTTTATTACAAATTTATTTTAAATTATAAAATTTTCATATTTACTAAATCAAATAAAATATCACATTCGCTCGTATATGCATCAATAAACTTATTGAAAGACATGATTATTAGAGAATGAATCTTTTTTTAAGGTAGTAATGATTATTGGAAGCCGTTATGCCTACCTGTGTTTGCAATTTTTAATGACATCGAATAAGAAGAATTTTGATTATGTCTAGAAGATCTTTATGTGCACGCCTTATTGTAATTCTAGTTTATGGGATTTGTTGAATTAAATAGGTGAAAAGTTAGAATGATATAGGTTATATTTAGAGTATAAAAGATTTAAAATTAATAGAATGAAGATTAATATATGATATCCAATGAACTATTATGGAAGAAACTAGAAAACTAGAGAAGTATAGAAGTAAATAGATACATTCTTTGTGATTTAGATTAGAGGTTAAAAAAATATTATGGGAGAGAACTAGAGAAGTAAATAGATACAAAAAAGAACCAACTTTCATTATATGATATCCAATGAATTATTGCAAATCTTTCTCTAGATGAATTAGAGTTGGAAATAATGATATTCAATGATGATGATATTGAAGGCCAAAAACAAACCTCTGAAGCTAATCCTAGTAGTTGAAGCTTGAATGTTTAATGTTGTAGTAAATTGTTAATTGTTTATATTTTTGTGGTTGTATTAGACATTTTGTACTAAATATTTTATATTATAAGCTAGATAAGTTATCATGCCATTCATTTATTGTTGTTTCATTTCTAATATGATGTTACATTAATATCTATATAGTATATAAAAAAATATAATGTCGTGTTCGCGTCGTACCCGTGTCCTATATTTTAAAAAAATGCCATGTCCTGTCTCCATATCGTGTCGTGTCTGTTTCGTTGTGTCCGTGTCCGTGTCCGTGCATCATAGTTTGATTGTTGATGGTTAAGATTCCTATAAAATAGTTTGATACATTTTTGGACTCCTTGTTTAGGTCTTCAAACTCACCTCAAAAGAGTTTGGAGTAAAACACTCATCACAATCTCGACTCCTTTGTAAGCATTTTGAAGAACCTCCAAGTTCGCATGGAGGTGGTAGCTACCAAAATCTTCTTGAACCTAATATATCTATCGATTGGGTTTAAATTTATCCTTCTTGTGAGTCGCTCAATGCACATTCTTTTGTTGAGTGATGAGGGATGCTCCTTTTTGTGGATCCTTTAGCCTTTATCAATAACTTCTCAAATGTCTTTTGATTCAAACTAAACTTTTATTTTGGTACTCTAATTCTCATAATCGATATTATGTGTGAATTATAATTGTATAAGATTGATAGCCATAGGTGAGCTTTGATATCATGGTTATGAAAATCAGAAGAAATAGAATGACTAATATAAAAAGGTAAAGTAGGAAAGCGTGATGGAATATGGTGAAGTTTTAGGAAAATAACTTGGTTTATCATTTCAAAATGATCCCATTAGTATGTATAAAATATTCATATATGTAATATAAGAGTTATAGTAGAACTATCCAAAGAGCACGATCCTAAATTAGGAGTTAGTGATCACTCAAAATTATTTATACTCATTCCAGGCATCAAGGGAATACTTCCCAAAATCCAATTAATTGCATTAGTTGGTAAGTTCACCAATAAATCCTCATCATCAAAAGGGAGAGACAACAAATGTACGTAGTAGTTATGCTTTGCCAGTCCTATTTATTGATGTCTCCTTCATTGTATATTTGTAATATACAAATATATTTGTTTTTTTTCTCATTTTCAATGTGAATATGTTAGATATGAATATATTTTATCGGACACTGAAATTATACAATCAAAGTGTGAAGCATGTGCTACAAACATGAAAGATCAACCTACACGTATAAAAGTCTAATAAATAAGAAGAAGGAACAAAGACTCAACAACTCGCAAAGGATAGCAATTATGTTTTGGCAAAATAATTCTCAAACCTAATGGCTAGCTCTATTGGTTAACACAAATGTAATAAGCACTAATTTATTCCTTTTATGTTTGTTTTGGGTAGACTGATTTTTTTATTATAAAATTGGTCTACTTAATTAGAATAAATATCTCTCATCTTGTAAAGGCAAGGCTATGGAAATAAGGATTTTGGTTTCTCTGTTCTATCTTCTTCTCTTGAAGTCTACACCTCTAAAGGTGTCTTACCTTCTTGGATGTCGAGAAGTTTAACAAATGGTGCTGTCGTTGCTCTAAATTCGTTCCTCCTCATGCCCGACAACCTCTTCCTTTAGCAGACGTCAATTCTTCTCGCCGGCTCACCACTTCTTGCTCTTCTTCCAGTAGTTGCTATCACCATTACATTCTTCAGCCACCTGCCGGCTGCTAGCTCTCTGTGATCTGCAGTAATCAACGGTCGAGTACATGAACACTTATCCTCTGGGATCTGCATTGTTCAAGATTTGCCTTATACTACAAGAAATTTTTGCAAATAGAGGCCTCAACATTCGAACACCAACAACACCAATTTCTCCAATCAATAGTGTTCAAGAACCTAACACCTGTGGTTTTAACAAGCACCCATTTCACCAAACAGAGGCCATTTTAGCAGCTTCAAGATCTCCGGTTGTAGATTAACCAAGACTCCACCAGCCTAAATAGCACCATTTTCAACAAATTTAGACATTCCCGACATCTCTTGCTTTTAGTTTTTTTCTTAATTTTCAAGATTTTATCAAGTTCATTTTTCCTTTGCTTTTCTTGCTGTATTTTTTTTTTTTTAAATTAGATCTTTTACTAGTTCTTTTTCTTTTGCTTGCAAGTACCAAATCAATTTCCTCTTCCATTCAAAATCCTCGAGTATCAAATCTACATGAAGAATGTGTTGAAAGCTCTCGGCAAACCAATCAAAAATTATAATTCTTAGAAATCCAAGAAATTTCTACAAGCTGATATTTAATTTGCTTCCATTGGCTCATCCTTTCAACAATTCCATGCTTTTATTTATTTCGTTGACAAGGGACTTCATAGTTTGTGCATTGATCGCCCACCTCCTCTTTATCAAGAAACTTCCTCTTACACCGACATTCTGGGTTCTACCAATCAAATCCTTTCTCCACAACCGTCACCTTCTCCTACAGATTTTTATTGTTTTTAATCGATGAAAATTGAATTTCCTCACTTCAATGGATCCGATGTTGAAACATGTACATTTTAAGCACAAGAATACTTCTACTTTCACAACACTCTTGATTGTCATTCTATTAGAATAGCTTCATTTCATCTTGAAGGAACTGTGATACTTGGTACCAGTGATTTCGCATTAAGGTCGTCTACTTATGTGGCACGAATTTATTTCATCATTACAACAAAGTTTTGGTATGTTTATATGTAAAGATTTACATGGCAACATTTCCAAATTTACCCAACAAAATTCAGTTCTTAAATACCAAACCGCATTCAGAAATCTTGTTTCTAAAGTTCCAAATATACTTGAATCCACACTAATTAATTATTAAATATCTAAATTTAAACAAGAATTATGCCGCAAACTTTTACTTTCAAGACCTAATTCACTCTTGGATGCTATAGAATTGGCTAGACGTCATGAATAAAAAATTCAAGATTTTTTTTTATTCCATCACCACTTGGTGAAAATCTTTACCATATAATCTAAAAAATACTACAACTATTCAACCACATACTAGCATGCATCCAACCATTACACCACCATAGCCCCTTCTCCAATCATCCATTACATCTTCTACACAAAACCTCAACTTCTCTAAACTCCAAATCTTTCAATCCATAAGCTATCACTAGCCAAAATCTAGTTTCGCCTTCATCACGGTATTTGTTTCAATTGTG